TAAATAGATAAGCTTACGCACTAGTTGCTGGTATCTCCCCCTTGTCTATAAGCTTGCCTCCTTGATCCTCACTAAGCTTCAGTCCAGGCTCTAGTGGTGTATCACAGGCTTTACTTCCAAGCATCCCAGTTTCCTTAGCAAATCAACCACATACTTTCTTTGACATATGATGATGCCATCTTTGGACTGAGCAACCTTAATACCTAGAAAGTACTTCAAGCTGCCTATGTCTTTGATTTCAAACTCATTGGCCAAATACTCCTTTAACCGAGGAACCTCGTCAACATCATCCCCTATGAGTACAATATCATCCATATAAACAATAAGAGCTGTTGTCTTACCATGTGAGGAGTGTTTCACGAACAAAGTATAATCAACTTGGCTTTGTTTGAAACCATATCGCAGCATGGCTTGAGTAAACCTTTCATACCAAGCCCTAGGAGACTGTTTAAGTCCATAAAGTGACGTGCGTAGTTGGCACACTTTTCCTTTGGTTTTAACATCCTCTAAGCCTGGGGGAATGCCCATGTACACTTCTTTCTTCCAAATCCATGGAGGAAAGCATTCTTCACATCAAATTGATAGAGAGGCCAGTCGAGATTAGAGGCAAGGGAGAGAAGGACTCTAACAGAGTTCATCTTAGCAACCGATGCAAATGTCTCCTGGCTATAAGTTTGCGTAAAGCCCGTAGCCACCAATCTTGTCTTGTAACGTTCAATTGACCTATTGGCTTTGTGCTTCATGGTGTACACCCACTTACATCCAACAAGTTGTTTGCCTTTAGGTAACTCAGCCAATTATCAAGTGCCATTTTTAGCAAGAGCTCTCATCTCCTCCATCATGGCATGCTTTCACTCGGGAGTAGAAAGCGCATCCTGAAAATTAGAAGGAAGACTCACAGAAGAAACTTTAGACATAAAAGCTTTATAGGAAGAAGACAGATTAGTGTAGGAGACAAAATGAGAAATAAGATGTTGAGTACACGTCCTAACCCCCTTCCTTTTAGCAATGGGATCATCTAGATTAGAAAGAATAGAGTTACTAAGAGTTTCATCAGAAGACGAGGATTCTGGACACTTATCAGAAGGAGGAGATAGCAGTGGAGAATCCGAATTGGTCTCTCGTACTCAAGTAACTTTGTTTCTATCCTTGTCCCTGCTATAAACTTTGCCGTCTTTCACCGCAGATTTAGACTCAACATCTTTCACTGCGGATTCAGACTCCACATTCTCAATAGTTGGGTCACTATTAACATTCTCAACCTGCTCAATCACTGATGGTAGTGATACAAGAATCGCTTCACACCAAGTCTCTCCCCCTGAAGGGATGATTAGGACACCGGGGAGGATATGAAGTAGGACTTAGACTCAAAGAAAGACACATCCATAGAGACAAATCATTTCTGAGGGGGTCGATGATAACACTTGTAGCCCTTTTGTGTGGCGGAGTAACACAAGAAGACACACCAAAGAGATCTAGGATCCAACTTACCACGGATAGGAGAATGGTTATGAACAAAGCACACACACCCAAAGGTTTTGAGAGGAATGGAGAAACCAGAAGAGTGGGACCTTAACAAAACCTGAAGAGGAGTGTGTTTGTGGAGAACTTGGGTAGGCAGACAATTGATGAGGAAGGCGGCAGTGAGAACAACTTCCCCTTAATATGATCTAGGAACACACATTTCGAAGGACAGACAACGCGCAATATCAAGAAGATGGCGGTTTTTACGCTCTGCAACACTATTCTGTTGAGGAGTATTGGTACAAGAAGTTTGGTGAATAATACCATGAGTGGCAAAATAGCTAGTAAGGCCAGAGTCAATGTATTCCCCTCTATTATCAGAACACATAATTTTGACAACCGCTCCAAACTGAGTGTAAATCATTTTATGAAAATTTTGAAACACAGAAAAAGTCTCACATTTGTTCTTCATAAGATACACCCAGGTGGTCCTCGAACAATCATCAATAAAGGTGACAAACCATCTTTGTCCCTTTAAAGACACAAAATGAAAGGGTGCCCATACATTAGAATGAATCAATGAAAAAGGAACAAAACTTTTATTAATAGGAGGAGTAAAAGAAGCTTTGTGTTGTTTTTCAAATTGACACGACTCACAGTGAAACTCAGAAACATTCACCTTGCTTGTTTCCACTTTTCAAAAAACACTTTTCAGAAAATTCTACTTTCTTATTTTCCGTGTTTTTTTGTTTTTACTGAATTTTTTTTTAATATTTTAAGCAATTTTTTTACTTTTTAGACACATCTAACATAAATACACCTAAAAAGTAAAAAAATTATAAAAAAAATCTTTTAAAAATTCACTAAATACCAAAAATACAAAAAAAATATAAGAATTCAGTACATTTTTGTATAAATTTTATGTATTTATTAATTTTTTAAAATATTTTTTCACAAATTTTTTACTTTTTAGATACATCTAAGTAAGGTGCATCTAAAAAAGTAAAAAAAATGTTTAAAATTTAAAAAATATTCACTAAAAACAAAAAAACACAAAAACCAAAAAAATTAGTTTTCAAAAAACTTAATAAAGAAAACTCAAACCAAACACACTGATTATTTTTCAAAAAAACTGAAGGAAAAAGATGCTTAAGTAACAAAAAAGATGAATGCCCAAGACAACGGTGTCACAGCCATAGGTCTTCCTTAGTAAATGGTAACTGAATGGATGAATGAGCCCACTTGTTCGCTTGATCTATTCTCGTTCCTACCACTACCAATCATCTTCCTCTTGATAAGGTCTTGAAACATACAACGATCAAGAAAAAAGGTTACACCACAATTTAAGTCTCGAGTAATACAACTCAAAGATAAAAGATTAACACTAAAATTGGGAATATGTAGTACAAAAGACAAAGGGAGGGAAGCAGTGGCATGAATTAATCCTTTCCCAGACACAGAAGAAATGGTACCGTCAGCAATTTGAACATTATATTGTCTAAAGAAGGGTTATATGCTGAGAACAAATCAGAAGACCCAAACATATAGTCTAAAGCACCAGAATCAATAATCCAAGGCAACGTTTGATGAGATAGGAAAGCACTGGGAGAAGAAGCTAAGTTACCTGAATGGGCAAAATTACCCGAAGATGAACTAGATGCTTGATGGTCGAGCAAGTGGTGAAGAGTAACTTCCAACTCAGAAGTAGAAAACCCAGAGATATCAGCAGATGAAACAACCGGAGCTGGGGACTGGGGCTCAATTGTATCAGAATGATAAGCTTGGGCATTGGGCCCTCGGCCTCTAGACTGATCGGAGTGACCTCCTCTAGAACCAGAACGATCTCCATGAACCCCAGATGGTGGCCCATGCAACTTCCAACAAGTCTCATGAGTGTGGCGAATACGACAACAATAGTCACAGAAGAGAGTGTCTTTCTCAGAAGGAGGACGGGAACCACGATCCCCATCTCGAGAGGGTGCAGAAACTAGGGACAGATTGATTAGAAGAGGCAGACGGAAGCATAGTAGAACGACGACTTTCCTCATTTTACACATAAGCAAACGCATCATGGAGAGAAGGAAGCATATCCATACCAAAGCACATGACTCATAACAGGATCAAACTTTACATTCAGACCTTCCAAAAACTTGAAGACCCGTACTTGTTCAACAAATTTTCGATAACTAGCAGAACTAGTGGGACAGACAGGCTTGTAAACCTAGACAGACCAGTCAATGGAGCGGCATAACTCAAAAGTCTGTGAAAAATTGCCTTTGCGGGAATACATAGTGGCCACAGCCTCCCAAATATCCTGTGCTATGTCCATAGATAAGTATCCCTCACCAATCTCCGGAGCCATGGAATGTATAAATCAGCCTATGATAAGAGAATTGGTAATCTATGATAAGAGAATTGGTAATCTCCCACTGATTATAACCCGGATCGGTGGTACTGGGGGTCGGAACGCGCCCATTAACATATCCCAACTTCCCTTTGCTTTTAAAAAAAATAGTCAAACTCTGTGACCACGCTAGATAATTCTGATCGTTAATGAGAGAGGTGGTGATTTTCTGGCCAACGTTGAGGGAATCAGTCTTAGTATGAGGCAAAACAGAAGTCGCGCCTTGAGGAGCAGGCTGTGAAGTAATACTCACTAATCAATTTTGCCATGAATACTCTACTAAGGAATTCTCACAAACAAACACTGGTCTAATTACAAACCCCGCAGATGGGAGAACATAACAGACAGAACAAAAAGAATTTAAGAGAACATAGGTTTTTTTATTTTTATTTTTTTTTCAAAGGAGAAGACGGAAAACAGGATATAGCAAATTACATGAAGAGAGAGTCATAGATTAATGGCGTCAATGTAACCCAAACCCAAGATGAGAGCTGACTGAACTAGAGCTTCTTCGACTGAACCAGAGCTCCTGCGAGGCTATCAAGAGAGTGACCCGATTGAATGCAGAGCTCCAGAGAAGCTATCGGCAGCATGAGGAGAGAAGAAAAACACCCCGACTGGACCTCTAACCTGCCGATAGACCTGGGCTGGGAAGAAAGGGGGCTCTGACGAGCCCTAGGGTGCTGTCGAAGCCCAAGGAGGCTGTGGCTAGGGCTGGCAAAGCCCTAGGATGAGGCGGCGATGACTATTGGAGCTCTAGGAGACTGTGATTGGCGCTGGTGCTGTGGCTGGGTGTGGTGGTGTGATGGTGGCTGTAGGGATTGTGGTTTTTAGGGTTTTAAAGTGGCTTTGATACCATGTGCGTTTTGAGAAAAGAAAGTTAGAGGTATGAGTGGTATCTCACCCCATTTTATATTAAATCATCACCATAATTACAGGAGTGTCCTAAGGCATAAAATAAGGATACTGAATATACATAAGAATAAAATAGGAAATATTCTAACACATTCTAACATGTGTCTGCTGTATTTTCTGTGAATTTTCCAATCAATATTGTTTCCAGATGTCATGCATTTTATTAATTGAAATGTGGAGAGGTTATAACTCAATATATTACTTATTTCTTGTTAAGCCTCTTGAAGATCCCAAGAAAACTACGGATATTATTTTGGAGGCATTGAAGAATACAGGACAAAGGGGAATAATTTGTCGAGGTTGGGGGGACCTTGGTACACGTGAGTGTCTTTCTTCTTCTTCATATTTTTTTCCTGTTCAATGATTAATGGTTATTTCTTGCTTCCTACAATCTTTAAAGTCTTATGCTTTGTGAAAGACTACATTGTCAATATAGGTATCTTGAGTAAATTAATTTATATTTTACTTCAAATTTGTATTGCAGTTCCAGAAGTTTCTGACAGTGTTTTCCCTCTAGAGGATTGCCCTCATGATTGGCTGTTCCCTCAATGTTTGGCTGTGGTGAGTTCTATTTTAAGCTGCCTTTAGATTGGCGAACCTTGTATTTATTTTTTAAGCTTATTTTGGGGGGTGACGGTTGCAGACTCTGTTAAAGGTGAATGTGAGTGTTGAAATGCCTTTGGAAATCAATTGTTACATGATCTATAATCTATATAGTTGCATTGTTAATGTTTTGAATGCAGCTATACATGCCAGGAAATACTACACTAATGCACAGTTTTGTTATGCATTTTAAAGTTACAGATCTGTGTGATAGATCACTAAAAGGAAATGGTATTGTCATGAATGTGCAGGTACATCATGGCGGTGCTGGAACCACAGCTACAGGACTAAGGGCTGGGGTAATATTCTTGTTCATAAGTTTTTTCATTGTTGTGGTATTCTTGGTTGCATATGAGAATATCAGTATGATGTTTCAACATGTAAAATATGTGTTAAATAAGTTTCAAAAACTGAGTTGAATGGCCATGAAGATAGTTTCTTGCCAACCAGTGATTGCATTGGTAGTTCATTTCTTTCCCCAACAAGGGTAAGGGTGTAGATACATGTCTGTCTTGCATATCCAATTTAGACATCTGAATATTTTAATTTATATGATGTTTGAAGAAGATGCTCAAATTTGCTAGTAAAGAAACATTTATAACTTGTCAGACGAGTATAAGATATAAATTTCATATTTTTCCTAAATCACATTTAATTTGAAGCATATTTTTAAATAATTTACAACATCATATTCAAGAATATTATACAATATGCAATATATAAAAGTGTTTTAACAGTTTAAGACGTATCCTCATACCTATACTCAACTTTTGGATGCATATCCTAATATCCTAAGATATAGATCTAGGAAGATCTTATGCTTGGACACTCACCGGACCCAATACTCGTACCCAAGTCCATGTAACTATCCCATGATATATAATTTTCATTTCTACATGCTATTTCTAGAAAGTGTAGTTGGTTTTTCTTAATGTCCACATCATTAAACGCAGTGTCCGACAACCATAGTCCCATTCTTTGGAGATCAGTTCTTTTGGGGTGAGAGAATTTATGAAAAAGGACTGGGACCAGCTCCAATCCCTATAGCTCAGTTCAATGTTGAATCCCTGTCAGATGCTGTACAATTCATGCTTCAGCCAGAGGTAATTTATATGTGCGTGTGAGTGTGTGGTATCTCAAATTTTTTGCAGGATGAGATCAGTCATTGTCATCATTAATTTTAATTAGCTTGAAAAGTTGTTGCAGCTAAAATTCTTAACTAGGCGATGCTAGTTGTTTTTGTCTTTCTCGTTTTCTTATTCCCACCCACCACCCACTTTGTCACTGTCAATAGATGGACAACGCATCTGAAACATTGATCAACCTACAAGTAATTTTTGTGGTTTACAATTTTAGAACTAGCAGAGAAATTGAAGCATCCATGAAGTCTAATCTCAATCTCCTCTGGAGAAGAAGAATGAGAATAAATGAATATATTTATTTGGTAAATTACTCTTTTTGCATTATCTAGTGTCCAAAGGAGTTTGTAATGTTGTGTAGCTTCTTTGATTCTCTAACGTGGACCATGGTGTTAGAGCAGCCAAGAGATGTGTGCTCGAACCTTGTCGCCTACTTGATAATTCCAATACTCACTGATATTTATTGGACCTTATTGTTAATCTTGTTAAAAAAAAGAAGAGAAAAAGATCCTGACCTTGTTTTTCTGAAGGAAGTCTAACACCTTGGAACACTTTGATCTTTGTTTATTTTTTAAAACTAATTTTATTATTAATTTTTTTTTTTTGGGATAAGTTTGTAATCCTTTTCTTGATTGGACCCTTATGCACATCTAGAATTGTATATACTTTTGCTTGATAAAGTTGATTTGTTTGACATTGATTTAACATTAAATTTCCTTTTGGATTGAACACTAGTGCCTTTATTTATGTAAAGAGATGTGTAGGACTTAACGTGTTCGATTATTTAAATTTTGAGCTTGTATATGCATTTATGTAAGCCTCTAGTATTTGTTTCCAAATATTTATGTCTGTTTCTAAAATAAATTTTGCTATTTCCCTTGTGCTTCCAAAACCTACCCGAAATCTTTCCATTTCCAAGTTGACCCAAACAACATTTCAAAACAAAATTTTGATCATGGATATAGAGTAAATGTTGTCCTGGATCATGATTTAGTTCTAAACCTTCACACACACACACACACATATATATTTCTTTTCCTTTTCTTTTTTCTTTGTCTTGTTTTATTGGCAAAGTAGTTACGTTTTGGTTTTTTGGTGTATCTATGATGATACATTGTTTAGGTTTCTCTTTTGCTTGTATTATAACTATGCTTCTCATTCAAGCAAAAGAGAACTTACGAAAATGGTGTATTGATGAACTTTTGACTCTCCTAGGTGAAATCTCGAGCAATGGAAATAGCGAAGTTGATAGAGAATGAAGATGGCGTAGCAGCTGCTGTTGATGCGTTTCACCGGCATTTGCCTTCAGAGCTACCGTTGCCAAGGTCATTTCCACAGGAAGATGACCAACCAAACCCTTTACAGTGGTTCTTTATTCAAATTGGGAATTTATGTTGTCTTCTTTGTGGTTCATAGGATTTTTCTGCAGTAAGTAACTTACAGTGCCGTATAGTTGTGCTTCATTTTTAGGTTATTGTTTGATTTTATTTCAACTTCTTATTCATTTCATTCATGGCTCCTCTTTATGGGTTAGGAAATAATTTCATGTACGCTTGTACACAAAGAATAGGGTTCTTTTGTAATGTTTGAGGGTATAGAACTGGTAAATTAGGCTTGGTTTGTTGATTCGAGTCATGGGTTTTATACAAGTTGTTGTCATTTGGCTTGGAATTTTGTATTAACCTGGATCTTTTTTTTGAGGAATATATTGAATTGTGGGTTTATTATTCATTAGTGACTAATATCCATATCTAATTTCTGTATCTGAAATGCACAACTTCTGCATTTGCAATTGACTTAGCTGCCTTGCATGGTTATTCCTCCGATTAGGCAATATTGACATTTGTATTAGGGGCAAGTTGGGGAGATGCCATTAGGTGATTTAATGCCGTTTCTGGAAATGGCTTGGATCAAGAAAATCACTACTAAAATCCTATCAATCAGCGTGCGCATGTCTGGTGAAAGTAACGAGGATACAAGATACGTGGTGTTGAAACATATACATTCTTCATATTGTTTTTTATTCAATGATGTAAAAATGCTCGATTTTGATGCTGCACATAAATGTTTTCCATTATAATTATGAAAATCTACATGTATTGAAATCAATATCATACAAACTACAGTAAATGATATAATTTAATGATCACATATGCCAAGTTCAAATTGTTTTATTTTTGCTTTCTAGACTAAAAAGACATGAAAAAAATTCACCGAAGGCTGAAAGCTTGAAATGAAAGTGACTTTTTAAGTATTTGCCAAACAATGTAGATCCTGTTAACTAAAATTATTTTTCCTTTAATAAAAAAAGTTAAAAACCAAATAACCAAAATGTTTTGAACTTAAATAGTCAAAATGTTTTTTGTTTTTTAAACCAAACAGAACAAGAAAATAACATGATTTTTGAGAAGTGGGCCTCACCAACAAATCTTGTACCCAATTAAAAAATGTCAAAATTTTGTCTTGAGATTTGCAGACATGAATGTCTTTCGTGCAGTTTTAGTGAAGGACTAGGATTCTCTAAAATGTTTTTGAAAATGTGACCTCTGTTTTGTGCTCGTTAGGAATGCCAAAATGATCTCGTTTGACAATATTACTTTTTAACATAAAAGTTAAAAGTCACTAAAAAAATTAAAAAGTCAAAGATTCTCTTTTCTATTTACTTTTAGCACATCTTTTCGTAAAAAATCAAAAAGTTATCCAAAACATATTAATGTTTTTTACATCATATTTTAGCCAAAAAGTCAAAAAATTATTAAAAAAACCTGTTCTCAAACACGGGCTTGCACACTAGAAAGAGTTCAATTTACACGTCAATTGCATTGCTCTTCCTTCGGCAAGCCTTTATGAATTTGTTTTTGATTAGCGCTACAAAACGAACAAAGTTAGTTGACTTCAACTCGTGTTTAATTCGTTTGAGATTAACTCATTATATAGATAAGTCAAATTTAAATATGTTTTCAAACTCTTCAAATTTTTAAACAAAATTTGAACATACCTCTCGGCTCAATAAGCATATATGTTATCATAAAAAGCCAAATTATTTAAACTCGACTCATGTTTAACTCATTAAAAACTCATTTAAGATTGGTTTATTATGTAAACAAGCCAAACTTTGAACAATTTTAAAACTTATTAAGTTTTCAAATTAAACTGAAGCAACCCGTTGCTCGACTCAACTCTTTTGCAGCTCTATTCTTGATGGGCGTGGCCTTGTGTGAGTATAAGAATTCAAAATTGTTCTTGATAGGCAGGGAGACTCTTCATCTGTATTATATCTCTCTTTACTATTCTAACATGGTATCAGAGTTATAGGTTAAACTCTTTGTGTTCTTCGCCTTACTGGCGGGCAACAACCTTGCCTTGGCCGCCTGCTGGACCTCAAACCATTCTGTTGCTATATTTTTCTTTTTGTATCGCTTCATGGTGATCTCTTTCCTCTATCCGCTAATTTATTACCACCCCAAATATCTCTATCATATTTTTTTTACTTGCAATCTTTTTTTGTGTGTGTGTGTGCATGCGTGCGTGCGTGCTTCTGCTCCACTCTATCTTTTCCTTTGCTTTAACCTCAAATAGGTTTTCAAACCTATTTGAGTTTGAGGGAGATATTATACCTATATCATGGTGAGCATGGTGATATACCATGTGAACCACCTAAGTCACCCTCTCTGATACACAATCCAAGCCGCCCTCTCTAGCGCACAACCTAAGCCGCTCCGTGCGCACCATCCAAGCCGCCCTCTCTGGCACACAATCCAAGACGCCTCTTTGGCGCACAACCTAAGCTGCTCCTTGCGCACCATCCAAGCCGCCCCCTAACGTACTCAGTCATATGTTGCTATCATCGTTCAACACCATGTCATAAGTTATATGTGTGCTATGCTTGTTGGTTTAACATTCAATTCTTCTATATCGGTTTGATACGACCTTAAACTGTCCCGACATTAGTTCCGACCAGTTTGGCACGACATTAAACTGTCCCGACAATAGTTCTGGCCAATTTCTAAAACGGTCTAGCACGACTTGAAACTGTCTTGGCATTAATTTCAGTCAGTTTCTATAACGGTCCGGCATGACCTTAAACTGTCCCGGCATTAGTTTTGGCCAGTTCCTACAATGGTCCAACATGACCATAAACTGTTTCCCAGCATTAGTTCCAGCCTCTAATCTATCTCAAGCGCCCTTGAGCTCCCGTTCAGACTTTGCAATTTATTTGCCTTTTATTTTATTTTTTAGTTTTGTTTCATGTTTTAGTTTCTCTCTCTAAACTCAAGATGTTTATTGTCCTTGAGTTTGAGGGGATGTTAATATTATATATGGCATATATTGCTAGATATATTAGGTATTGGTTTCCTAAATATATTTGTATTGCCATAGTTAGATTTCTTGTAGAATACTCTTTTTCATAGTTAGGTTTCTAGTAATATACTCTTTCTCAGTCTATTTTATTATATAAGATCAATTCATTGATTACAATACATATTATTTTCTCTCTTTCTACTATTCTAACAATCAGATTGCTACTGTTATACTTATCCAAGCTTGATTACTAACATTGGATTTTAAAGTGAGTCTTAGGTGAATTATTATTGTTATTATTTTGTGCCAATCTTTTGTGAAATTTTCCCCAGCAAATCAGAGGGGATACCATTCTAGAACGAAACTTTTGATATTCTACATGAATTGTTTTCTCTTGGAAAGATAAAATACCACCGTGTGAACAAAATATTAAATTACGAATATACCTCTTCAAAAATCGACCACTATTCTAAATATTAGTAAATTGAAGAACAGAGTTTAATGGAGTGCCATAGTGCGGCGGCGGTTGTTTCCATCGTTGAAGTTAGAGTCTCAAACTGAGCTTTTCGAATTACAAAAGGCAAAAAAGTGCTTAGTTTTGTTGCAAAAATCAATGCAAATATCATATTTACTTTCTTTCGCAATAACTTCATTTTCACCTGCTTCTCCTTGTTGCACTTTTCATAAGTGATTAATAAGTTAAGAATTCGATTCATTATTTCGTTGGGAAACTTTAGATTTTGGTGACGGCCAATGTTTCTGAAAATAACAGCGTGCGAATATGGCGTTGTCCGCGTTGCAACCGAGTGATTCGGCATTCACACAGATGATACTTTTCTTAATACCGTAAAATTTTGCCTTCTTATGATAAAAGACATGCTGGTTGTGCTGCAACTAGAGGTGTCAAAATGGGCAAATTTGGACCAGGTCAAAATGGGTTATGTATTTAAAACAATTTAACCCAAATTTACCTATTCCATAAACCAGTTTAAGAGAGTTACGTTGAATTGGATATGGATATGGATTAGACAAATGGACCTAACTAACCTGCTTATTTGGTGCTTAGATGGCAGCGTTGGTGGTGGTGGTTGTGGTATGGTATTGGTGGTATCAGTTTAAAAGAGTTTAAATGGATATTAAACCTCTTTAAACTCAATTTTAATTAGATTTGCAAGATGCAACCTATTTAAGTCCATTTATGAATTTGAACAGTTTGCACAGATTTTAAATGGATGTACTAGAATAGGTTCATGGTTTTCGAGTTGAATTTGTCACCTCTAATTACAACATCAGTTTGAGGGTTAATTGTCATGGGATGCAATTATATGCACAAAAAGAGTGACATCCTTTTCTATTTAGAAAGCACATAGAACGGTCTCAATTAACAAATAGCATCAAAGTCTATTTTTTCTTTTAAACTTTAGTGTGTTTTGTTTCTTTCAATTTTATTTGTGTGACCTGCTTTAATTTGGCAGAATATATTTGTTTTTTAAATTTTGAATAATTTTGTATTGAGGGCAGACATCTTTTCCCAATCTTAGTCTATAGTTTGTGTTGAAGCTTTCACATAGAATAAAAAGTAGAATTTTGTATTGATAATATGAGATACATTACATACCTTCATTACAAGACCTTGAACTTGAAGAATGAATTGAGGAAAACAACTACATATATGAAAATCTTGGACTTGAAGAATAATGTGATGGATAATGACATCGATCATGTATACGTAGAACACAAGAAAGAAGTATACAATATTGACAACCTTTTTGATTACTAAAGTTAGTAGGAGAGCAAGACAATTTTTATTTTATTTTAAAAGAGCACATAGAGCAATATTAGCCAAAACATGGAGTAGCATCAACGCTTATCTTGTCTTTTGAACTTCAGTATTTTGTTTCTTGCAACTTTATTTGTATGGCCTACTTTAGTTTGGGGGAATGTATTTGCTTTTGAAGCTGGAATAATTTTGTAAAAAGGTTGAAGTCCGACCTCTATAAGAGGCTATTGGCATTGCATTGAGGGGTGTCGTGTCTCTCTCCTCTCTTGAGGGGTTTAAGCACATGTTTGCAGAGAAATTGGTTGCTACTAGTTCTAGTTATAGTGAATTCATAGAACAAAACTAAATAACAACCTCATCACAAGACCTTTCTAACAATCTCATATCACTCAAAACTAAGCAACATTGATCGGTACTTCTTAAATTACTATTTGGTTTACTGGAATGATTTTGAACAAGAATAAAATAACTATTCCTTGATCTCCTAATCGAATAACCATTTCCCAAAATTGGTGAATGGTGATTCCATTCAAAATGCACATTCCCTACTATTTTACCGAACAAAACAAGAGAATGAGTATTCCAACATAATGACCACTCTATTCTAACCTTCATACTACTAAACCAAACACTGCTCTATCTAACATGACTT